TCTGCAAATATAATACTTGACAGTTTGTAGTCTTTATTTAAATTATTATTATAAACAAAGTTTCGTGTTAAATCCGTGATTCAAATTCCATCTCTGTGCAAGTTTTGCTACATTGGTTGGGAAGGAGGCGTGAACTTCCTATTAAATGCTCTTAAAATCCATCTTAAAAAAAAAGTAAAAAAAAAAATTATGAAAAGGAGTGGCCCAATAAATAAGTTTTGTGGAACTTAACAAAAAGATAAGTTATGTGTAAGTAACACATCTGTAAGTAATAGAAAAGCAAGTGCAACATATATTGCTCTAGAATTCCACATTGAATTACTTGAGTTACTATTTTCCAATTCAGATTAAAACTGTATATCGTTGCGCCATTTAATCTTTTTAACTGTTAAATTTGTTAACAGTCTTTTCTTAAATTTGCAGAGTTATCACCAACTTCTTGCACAAAATCATATGATATATTGGAAGATATTGCCTTCCCGGCAAGAATCTGGTCAACTGAATGCCTAAAAACTCAACCCACTAAATGATAGTGACATCCTATATAATGAGGTATAGAAAAACGTTTTTCTCTGAATTTCTGTTAGATCAGTACATTAAGTCCGTTTTTCCTTCCATTATTGATACTTGTGGTATTACAGATTATGACTCTAACATTTTCCTACAAATGGTATTGGTCAAACCCCTCAGTTTCAACACTTCACAGCCATTAGTATCACAATCAAAGGTTTCTGAATTTTTTGATATAATGAAAACAATTTCAGGTTCTACATTTTTATTTAAAAAGTAAAGATTACAAGTACTGTTTGAGATATTTTCTCTACCAACTTTTGATAAACGCACTTAAGCTTTTATTGTTGTTGCATAGCAACTTCTCTTTGTAATTTAATATGCATTTATTATATGTAATTTAATATGCATTTATAAGTATTATATCCTTAGTTGCCAATCAGGTACCAACTGTTTTTATATTATCCAATATATTTGCAAATTTAATTTGAGCCCATTTACATTATAAAAAGTTTTTTTATAATTTAATTAATGTATACATTAATTAAATTATATAAAAACTTTTTATAATGTAAATGGGCTCAAATTAAATTTGCAAATATATTGGATAATATAAAAACAGATGGTATCTGATTGGCAACTAAGAAATTGTGGGGAAAGTTAGATTTCGTTCTCATAGCAGAAAACTCAATAGAGAGAAAGATTGATATATCAAACTTTCTCTCTATTGAGTTTTTTGTTATGAGAACGAAATCTAACTTTCCCCACAACTTCAGCTATCACTTTATTTCTAAAATTTCTTGGTTTTTTATCAACTTATTATATCAGCCGCATTAAACTGAGTTTTGGAGCCTTATCCTCGTTAAGAGATAACAGAAAATATTGCATACCCATTATTAAGAAGTAAAAACCCATGAGTATAGTCAAGAAGATCCAGCATTTATTATTTTTGGCAGAAAACAATGAAACACAGGTTTACATCTACATCTTTAGATAAAGAAAGCAAGGCTAAAAAATTTAAAATTATACATTATAAAATTGAAAAAAAACTTTATATGGAATTAAATTTTCATAAATGCCAAAAGTATTTATCAGCCATAAAAATACAATTTAAAAATAAAAATCTTTAGAAAATTACAAACTATAATAGAGCAAGTTCTTGCATCTTTAACAAAAGAAGAAGAAACTGAAGCCCTTATTAAAATAACGAGATGTTAAGCATTTCTTTTCATTAACAACCTAATAAGATTCTTGGAAAGATTCATCTAATTTCACAGCAACGTGTTTCAGGAAAAAAAAAAGACATTAAATCTAGGTAATAAAACTTTCAACATGTACAAAAAATATTATAGGATGATTACAACCACATCTTAAAAAATACAATCACCTCTGTTTAAAAAAAAAGAACGAATTAAAACTGGTAGACCAAGCAAATAATGAAAATAAGCAATAATTAATTTTTGAATGAATTTTAATTTTAAATATTTGTAGAATTTGAAATAAGAGAAATTCAAAAAAAGTAAAATATTGTAAAATTGTTTATGATGTAAATAATATCAAGTCAAAGAAGTAGGGAAATCAAAATTAGGCGAAACAATTATTTTCGAAAAACGGAATACAAAATAGTTAATGCAAAGTTGGTTAAAATTTTTTAGAAAAAGTGTTTATAAAGAAGATTTGGTATTTTTCAGACAGTATTTATTGGTAGGTTTCGAGGTAAATAGATCATTACAAACGGCAGGAGAAAGATTATAGCTACATGTAATTAAAAAGCATGAAATATTAAAAATATTGAGTAAGTAAATATTTTGTATTCTCACTTCTGAAAAAAACTGTACAGATTGAGAAAAACGATCAGCAAAACTAATTACTCGTATTGTATGTTTCTGACTGCGATAGAGAGATTGTAACTTACTTTTTTAAATGCTTGTCAAGCATTATTTGCATAATTCGTATAGCTATGAATAATGCATAATAAAGTTGGGATGAACCTTTTTTAGTTATATAGATTCTGGCCTTATTAAGAATTTTAATATTTTTTAAAACCTATGTGCCAAGTCAATCTTTTGTCAATCATACCATAGTCAATCTTTTGCTTCGATGTGATGTATTAAGGAATAGACCTAAAAATTTTGTAACGCAATCTTTTTATTTCAATTTAGTCAATAAAAATATTAGGTCAAGCTCCCCAGCTCCAATAATGTATAACTAGTATATAACATTTTTTTTATATATCGAATGAAAGAATATTCTTTTTTTTTTTCAATTTAGTTTATTACTGAAGCTTTTAAGTTTTTTACTTATAGAAGTATATAATGCTAATATTAGATAAAAATAAATAAGAATTATTCGCAAAATTAACACGTTATAGATTCAAAAATTAATGCAAATCATTAATGTGTATTAAAAAAAGATGTGACCCCAAAATTAATTTTTATGGAACACTAAATGAAATATCTTAAACATTTTTTGATAAGGGTTGTTAAAAAAAAAGAATTGTTTTCGGTTTTAAATAACTTAGACCATTTTATAATTACGCAGTTCACTCCATAAAACTTAAGTTTATGAATCGAAATGTTATGTTTTACTATATTGAATGCTTTTGAATAATATAAAGAATTCATAATGCAAATTTTGAATTTTTGAATAAGTTAGAGATTTCACAGTCAAACTGGATGTTGCATGCTCAGTTGAACTATTTCTTTTAAAACAAAACTGATTTTTATATAAAATTTTTTTGTTAAAAATAGATAACATACTTATTTAAAATGTCTATATATAAATTAATATAATCTATTGTACATAATATTTTCTATAACTTTTAAAAATGTTGATAAAATAAATTTTGCAGATTTAGATATTTTTCGGCTATTTTTTACGTCAGATCAGAAAAAACTCATTGATGTATTGAAATAGCGGCGAACTGAACCATTTTCAACACCGGGACATTTCGGTCGAATTAGAGGCCTTAAGGCCAATATGTAAACAAATAAATTAATTCTTCTGATTAAAAAGTCAATCAGTTAAAAGTTCTGATTAAGACTGTTTTTAAATAAAATGTTTAATGTTTCATAATAGTAATTTGCATCAGGCATAAGCATTAAAATATGTATACAACCATAGGAGTACCCATAAAAAAAAATTATATTTTTTTAATACATATGTCAAAAGGAACCAGATAAATTATTATAGTATTTTTTTTATTGACTTCTGACCCTATATATGCACATGGTCTATTCTAAAAACTGTATCCCCCTACTCAAATATTTCCAAAAGGTGCCCACTATGTCTATATAAAAAATTTGCAATTATTTCCTATCCTAAACCTAATGAACTTCTAAATAAACGATCCGAAATTATATCAAAATGCTGCCACGAGAATAAATTTTTATTAAAAAATTACAAAGCTCGCTACAAACTTAATTAACAACTAACATAAACACTAATCTCTTGGCTAACTAATAAATTATTCACATACACAGCTCTAGTAATATATTTCGTAACATAGTTTATATTATTTTACCACTTTTTAAATTATTATTATTTTTTTTTTAGTTATTTCATTTTTTTATTAATATTTTTCATTTTATTTATCAATTTATATTAAATAAAAATAATACACATTATTATTAAATCCTATAAATTTTTTTTAAACAAATCATACAACAATAATTTGAAATTTATTAACTAACAAAAAACAAATTGATAATAACATTAACCTTAACTACAAAATAACTTCTGTCCCATAACGATCTAAAGCTCAAATAAAACCGTAACTTTCTCTAAACATATCGTAGTAGAATTAATTTTTTACTACTTGCCTAAAGATTGCAATAACACATGAAACTCTGAGAAGCAAATAATATTATAAATATTAGCATTTAGCTAATTCCTGATACTACGGATAACAGTAATATATACTATATAGCTCTAGTTTATCTATTAAGCACTCTTTAAAATATACATTATTATACATAATAATATAAAGATACTATCCTTAATATTTACATATATACACTTACATATATATATACACTTACATATATATATATATATATATTATATATATATATATATATATATATATATATATATATATATATATATATATACATATATATGTATATATATATATATATATATGTATATATATATATATATATATATATATATATATATATATATATATATATATGTATATATATATATATATATATATATATATATATATATATATATATATATATATATATATATATATATATGTATATATATATATATATATATATATATATATATATGCTTCGTTTAACTTCTAGCTAACTTAAAACTATGTCAATATTACAACACTATACTTTATATAATGTTATATTTAAAACTGATCAAGAAGATCTGGCTTAAAACATTTTAATTTGTTAATTACCTTTTATCGGTATGTTTGTCATTGACGTACTAATTGTTTATTATTAAAAGCTAACGTTTTTATCTAGCTTCAAACGAATTTGGTATTGTTCGATACAATGGCAAACCCTTTTGTAGTATTGGATGGACTACAGAGAATTCAAAAGTTGTATGTAATATGTTACAGAAAAAAAACACGATCGCTATGACTGTTAACGCATCTCTTTTCACGGAGATTAAATATTTTGACTTTAGTAATAACATAGTCTGCAAAGGAAATGAGGAACTATTGCACAGATGTTCACTTTCTAAAGACGCAGTGAGTTGTTTTGAAAATGGTCAGTATAAACCACCAGCTGCCGTTCATTGCGGGCTATACATACCATATTCAGTTGAAAATGGTAGAGTAAATATCAAACATTCAGGGTTACCTCGGTGTTATAGAAATGATGTTGAAGCAGAAAAAGTTTGCACAAAACTTTTTCAAGACTTATTTGATGTCACTAGCTTAAAAGGAAAAGTTGTAGAAAGTTCTCGAAAAGAATTAGCCGCCTATTCCGTCTTGTATAAAAATCAAGACTGCGTCAAAAAAATGGATTCACATCAATGTGAATATGATATTATTCACGACTGTAAACACCAACAAATTCAATGTAGCATGTGCTTTAAAAAAGAATTAAATCAAATAGTTAACAAACTTAAGTTTAAAGGATCGAACAATTATGTAATTAAATCACTAAAAGATGCCTCTGATAAGATCGAAACGTGCGGACGCTGGTTTAACATGAATTGCAAATCTAATTATAAGTTTGATCCGAATCTTTGCTCTTTGCACAGCGTTATTTTAGAAGCAACTCGTATTTTAAAGGAGAGTATTAAATCAACTACTTCCATAACGTTGCCTGCAAAATGCGATGTTCAGGAATATCTTAAGTATGATTTTCTTAAAACAAGTTTTGATGACTTACTAAGCAATGTTCGTTCATCAAGAGAAAGCATTGGAAAGTATTTTGATGAGTTAGCAAATTTTGATGGTGAAATTGCAAAACACGACATTGCTTATGCACTTGATGAATGGGGAAAAGCTGATAGAATAATCAGTGATAAATTAAATGGATTAGGTAGTTCATTTATGGCTATGTCCGCTGTAGGTAATTTAGTACAAATTAATAATATCGTACAAGAAACTACAAAGTTAGCAGTTCAAATAGCTGGAAGTTTTAATCCAATTAAATGGCTAGCAAATACTGATGGATCAATAAATGATATTGTTGAATCAACAACTAATATAGCAAACCTTGGTGCTAAGTTAGGTATTTCTTTTCAAACTCAAGCCTATATTCCAATTTTAATTGAAAAACTTGGGCAAGCAAAAAGAAATATGGAAAAAAATAAAAATGTTTTTTCTAGTATTTCTGGTATTTTACAAAAAGTAAATTTAGATAAAGCAATAACTCCAGAAGATAGCGCCACATTTTTAGAGCTTTACAGAGACTTTACCCCTGCTATCAACAATGAATTAATAGTTAGTGCTTCGGTATATATTGACATTCTTATGTATACTTTTTCTCAGAATATTAGGGATTCTTCATCAATTTTTGGCGCAGCTCTGCAAGTACAAGGGGATGATTTAATAAACGATGTAACTATGTCAACCAAAGTTTTGATGGGTCAGTATGAAGTAGTTGCTGAAAAGCAATTAGAAATAATGGAAGCCTTTGCAAGAAGTGCAAGAGCTATGATTGCTAAAAAAAGTGCGCAAAACATAATTGATGTTAAAACTAAAACAACTGATTTAGACCCTGATTTTCAAAAACAACTTTTAGATATAAAAGGTGTATATTTATTACGAGAGCAAAAATTAAGAATATACACACATGTGTGCAATATATATACATACAGAAATCACGGTATACAACCGCAAGTTTGCAACGAAATACTAGACAATCCCGATGAATCTGTTTTAAAACTTATTACGTATGATTCAAAACCTGATATGTGCAGTAATGCTGAAAAAATTAAAAAAATAGTTTTAATTCCTTTAAGTTTAGAAGGAGATTTAGAACAAGGAATATTGTCATCTAATGATTTATATAGTTACAGAATTGACGGGACATTTGGTTCAACATATTTCAAAATTCCTAATAAAAACTGGATGATTAAACACGGCTGGATATCTAAAGAACAAGAAGGTCCCGTTTTTTTAAAAAAATTCCAGTTATACATTCCACCTGAGGCTATTGATGTTTCCTTTTCTTACAAAATATTAATGAAGCTATCACAAGTAACTTTACATAACAAAAATTATTTTCTCCAAAGCACTGTCATTAACTATATGTCATACCGTAAAGAAGATTGTATTGCTTCAATAAATAATCCATATAAAATGAATGGATGTAGAGATCATATAAAAGATGTTTGCGTTTTAACGCATGGAAATGTAATTGGTGAATTTCTCCCTGTTGTTGAAAACTCAGTATGGTCAATTCAATTGCAAAGCCAAACAAATTTAACGAAACTGTATCCCACCAATGTAATGTACCTTAAAGCTGAAATCGAATTATGTTGGAAGAGCAATATTCTTGATGACCTTAAATACAAACGTCAGGTAAGATAAAATAATACATTTAATAATATTAATTTTGTATTAAATTCAAAAAAAACCTACATTTCATTTCATTGTTTTTAACTATGTGTTTTTATGAAAAAAATATCCAAATATTTACATTTATCGATGTAAAAATATTGTAGAATCGATGTAGGAATGTTGAAATTTATAGATGAATATAAATTGAGTTGAGAATGTTAAAGAAATTATTTTATCAACTTTATTTTATCAACTCGTCTTAATGGATATAAATTAAATTGCTAATTTCTCCTTCATTTTTGACATGCTTAACTAAACCAAACTATTAACTTTCAAGCTTATATAAAATTTTTCAATATAGGTTATTTTTGAGAAAGAAACTTTGTTAAAATACATTTGCGCATTATGTATTTTATTGACAAAATAAATAAAAAAAAAAAGCTTTTTTTTCTGTTTACTTACCGGTCTTAGCATAAAATTTATTCTTTTATTCTTCCATAAGATACTCTTATTTTTTTGACTCTTGATTTTCCACTTTCAAAAATTTATAAAATAGCATTAATGCAAACTGAAACTCTAACGGTATTATTCTCTCGCGTTACTTTGATGTTATATAAGAGAATGAGTGGTCATGAAAAAATTTTATTTTCTTTTTGTCAAGGTCTTTTTTGTTTTAAAACTACAATGATTGAAGCAAGAAAGCTGTCTTGATGATCTTTATTTTGCATTTTATGAAAGGAAAAAAATATATAACGCTTGCAATTACACGGAAAACCGATCGTACACGAAAATAATCATTTTAATTAACTTCTGTAGTATCTAGATATTGACATTTACCCGCCATTTTTGTGAAAATTAAGTTTTTTTTTTTTTGATTAAATGAAATTGAATTAGATATTACGCAAATACTCTCTCCTACCTAAGTGTAGGGTTAGGGAAGTAAATCTCTAACTTTGGGAAAATCTCCTCAATTTCATTGAATTGCTACCCCAAAACAAAGAAATTTTTTCCAAACATCCATACTCTCTTGCAATTAACTCCCTCCAACCCTCCGGAAAAAACAAAGCTATACATTCAAAAAATACATCAATTTATCTATATAAAACTACTTATTTCAGTAGTAAACACTGCATAGATTCTTTTTGCAATTGCCTTTCAATAGTTTTTCAATGTCTCTCTGTTTTTACCAGGAATGGCAACAATAGAAAATAACAGCAATAAACAGCATACAACAAGTTTTATTCCATTTTCGAATTCATTACAATCACAACTCAAATTTTTTATCTCTGTGAAAAATTCACGAACAGATGAGTATATATAGCCAATATACGGGTACGTAGACTTTCTTTTGTTTATATTCCTAACTGCTTTGTTGATTTGCGGGGTTTTTTTTATTATCTTTGTACTTCATCTTTTTTACCTGGATCAGCAATACTTTTCTGTTCAGGTTAAGTAAATTTTTGCTTCTTGGCATCATACTCCATAATTTATTATTAATTTAGTTTATGCCGAAATATAAAAGAAGTAATTGAAACTTTCTTTTATTTATAATTTTTTTAAACTTAAAATGCTCATAAAAAATGAAGGTCAAAACATTTAAAATAAAAACCTTTAAAATGCCCAGCTTTTTGCAATAGTTACTTTAAATATTTCATAAGTGTTTGTTCATTGTTGCATAAGCCTTGTTATAAATATATTTCTTACAATGTTTGACAAAAAAATCTGAAGCAACTGCATTCAAATTAAGCTCTCAAAACTGTATAATTTTTGAATTTTTAAGTTAAAACTTCACTTCTATTTTTTAACTCGGCGCATTTTGCTTATGTCAGCTTTGGGTTTATGCAAAAACGTACATTTTTTTTTTATTATTTATTTTTTTATTCACTTCTTCAAGGCCGAGAAGGCCACTACAGACGAGGAGGCTACTTAATAGTGGTTATAACCCTCTCTCAACTCTATAACTCCGAAACACGAACCTTGACGAAAGTTGAGCGCGGTACTACCAGGGACGTGGTGGGGGTCGAACTCGGAACCCTCACTGATGAAGCGAGTGTTTTACCACTACACCGACACCGCACGTATCAAAGACGAGAAATTGCTGCTTTCTGCATAACAATGATTTTTTTATTTTTATTCAATTATTACAAGGAGAAAATCCAAATTTTTATGCATTATGATAAATGCATGCTGTTCTAAATAACAATTAACTATATGGCACCCCCATCCCCTTCCTTCAACACACACACACTTGACACCTGCAGTACTCGCCAAATTATTATAATAATTGACAAAAAAAAATTTTTTACACTTAAAACTGGTTTTTGTTGCTCATGCTCAATATATATGCCCAAATTTAGCAAATATACATTTACTCTGTACAGTTTACTAATTATGCATATGTTTTCAGTATGTGGTTGCACCACCCGCCCTAAAATTCGATTCGGCATGCTTGCATAGTATTTGGAAATTAACTGTGCAACATCGGGGTTGCAAGACAATTTATGATCAATGGGTTTGATTAGGTTACGTTTGTTAGAAACCTCGTTTAGTCTGTCTTTCAGATTGGGCGATATCCCTTCAATTGGGTTCATATCAGAACTACTTGACAGCCAAACCATGACTTTAGTTAAATGTCTAACCTTTTGCACCAGACACTGCGGAATAAATTCTTCTTGTTGTCTTCTTCTTACATAATATCCACTGTTATCTAATATTTCCAGTATTGATTCATAAGAAAAACATACCTTAAACACACATACGCAGTGTATTACACAGACTACTGTTGTAAGTTTACAGTTATTACATTTATCTCGTTATTTAAACTAAGTTTGATTTAATTTTTTGTCGCTCTTTAAATTTAAAAATTATTTTTCTGAACAGTATAGAAGTAATTAAACATTTAGACAAATCCATTTTCCAGTCCTTCGCTTCCCACGTGACAAATTATTTGCCCCATATTAACCCTTTCTTTATCATTCCAGTGTTTAATTTCAGTTTCTTTCTTGGTCAATTTTCCCTTAAGCCAGCTTTGATTAAATTTCTTTGCAAAGTACTGCTACTCATTTGAACACCTAAAGTGTTTATTTCAGCCATCAATCTGCGTGATGTTACCTTGCGGTTAGATTTAGAAAGTCTCGCCAAAGGTCGATCATCTTGTTGCGGAGTTATCTGCTTTCTTCCGCATTTTTCTTTACGTTTGGAGTACCAGTTATTGAACAAGCTCTGTATTCTCCAAGAGAACCCTAATCTGACCCTTTTTGCGTGGAGATAAGTCACTTTTTTCCCATTCCTTCTAAAGTGAGTAAATAAAACAGTTAAGCAATAAAGACAATAATAATTTTGTACATGAAGTTGATGGTCTAGTTTTAAGACCTCAAAAATAGTAATTTTTGGTGTCCTGACTGCTTGCAAAATAATACCTGACTAATTGCAAATAAATAAAAAAAATTAATATCTATATCTAAGAATATTATTAACGCATTTTTTAGATTTTTTAAATAAAAAATCTAATATGTAGGCACTAAAGTCCCATAGGCATGTCGCAGAAATGATATAAAGTATAAAACTTTTTTACTATATTGAACTTTATTGACAATCAAAGTCAAGTGAAGACTAATTTTGATATTTTTCTTAATTGTCGTAATAATTTAGCCAGTACTGTACTCACGCCAACCTTGGTCCGTTGCTAACAAACGAACAACTGACTTGGAGCGCCATGTTCCGTAAGAAACATAAAAATTTAATTAAGTGTCAACGTTGTAAATAAAATGACGTCTTTTTTTCAGCCTAAAAACTCAAAGGTATTGCAGAAAGCAGTTTTTAAAAAATGAATGAATAAAAATTAAGTCTTTTTGAAAATTTGAAAGAAAAAATTCTAAAAAGAAAAATTCAAGTTCTACCCTCCCCCCCCCCCCCCCGAACTTAATGACCCCTCCCAATCAACACTAATTTTCACCTATCTAACAATTACAACACTGAATTACAATACTTACCTAAAAAATAATCACATTGTGTCTTAAGTACCTTCGCATTTTATTTTAAATGACTTCTTGTCATAGTTGTTAGTCCTTAGCTTTGGTCTTGGCCTTGAAGCTGTTGACCTTGGCTTTGGCCTTGAACATTTTAGTCGAAGTCTTCCACCTTTTCTTTTCTCAATAATTTTAGAACTTTCTTTTGTGTTTGCATTTTCAAAATTGTATTACAGCTGATTTTGCTTACAAGAGTTATTTTTGTTGACTTAAAGACATAAGAACTTAATTTTGTTTTTTATGTCAAAGTTTAAATGTCTAGTCAAAATGGTTTTACCATTTACTAGATATTTTAAAACAGCAATCAATGACATGATTGGTAAATAGAAATTTAATACATCCATATAATAAGCCACATGATTTGTTTAACCTTATTTTATTTGTTAAAACATTTTAAAATTTAAAAAAGATTTGAACACGTGAATTTTTCAAAAAGTTAAAAACAAAATTTTAAAGATTTTTTAAATAAAATTCGTTTTTACTTTGTTTGCACTATAACTTATTACTGTTTTTATTCAACTTACCTATGTCTGTTTAAAAAGGTAGCTAGTAATGTATTCTTTAACACTTATTAAGCGGGTCGGGTATTAGCACCCAATGCGCGGACTGCAGTTTATTAGCGGATCGGGTATTAGTACCTATTTTTATTATTTTTATTTGAAAAACCACAACCAAAAACATAATGGCAATTATAAATAATGTTTTTGTTTTAGAAATATTATTGGTTTTTAAACTTATATGTATATTTTATATATTGTATATTTACTTGTTATGTTTTATTTATTATATTTCATTTATGATATTTGATATTGTATTTAATATAAACTATATTTTAGATATTATTGTTTTATATTTTTTAATAAAACTGTTTAATAAACTATCTGCATATTTAGTTCAAAAAATAAAACTTATTTGATAAATTTACATTTATAATGTCTTATTGTTTTTTAAACTTTTGTTAAAAATCACTTACTAATACTTTTCTAAAGTATG